TGTAAGTACGGTGGATGATGGAGTCACCGATCTCACATCGGATGACGAGGGCGTCCCTGTGTGATTCCGTACCCGGAGGCAGATCCTTGTCGGTGAAGGTGATCGCCTCCATTCGCTGCTTCTTCGGCTGGGGGGGGGGAGGTGGGACACCTCCCCAATGTAAAGGGATTGGGCCCATTTCTTTCTCTGAGTGGCGGAGTCCCCCCCAGTGTTCCCACCTACGATGAGGTGAATGTGATTCTTCTTTGGCGGGGGCTCTTCGAAGTCCTCGTCGTCGCTGAGCCTACCAATCTCCCACTTCTTCGTAGAGGGTTCGCCCCCATGTTTGCCGGTGTTTACCCAAGTGTTCTTGTGTGGGCCACCTTTGACAAACTGGGAGAGTTCCCCCTGGCGAATAAGGCGCTCGATGGCCTTCTTCAGTGTGATGCAATCGTCGATGTTGTGCGACGAGTTCTTGTGGAACCGGCAGTATGTGCCGCCCTGCTGGATGGCAAGGATCTCCTCGGCCGGTCGAGGAGCCTGCTCGATGAGGCCGTGCTTTTCGGCATAATCGAGGATGGTGCCGACCGGGTGGGTGAGGGTTACCCCCGGTCGTTCCAACCTCGGCCGCTAATGGCGATCCTTCTTACTTTGTCCACCAGAGCCGTGACGGCCCTGGGCACCCTGGCCGGCCGGGGACGGACCCGGGGCCGGCAAAGGATTTGTCTTCTTGGGGGGATGGCCCCCCTCTCTCTTGTGGTTGTGGAGCTCGTCGGTGTCGGCATACAAACCTCCGCGCTGGAGCGCCTTGGCGTACGACCTCGGAGGGTCGGTGATCAGGCTTCTAGCGTACGGGGAGCTGCGGAGGGCTCCCTGGTACAAGGCGAGGAGGGTGCGCTCGTCGGCCCCCTCGACCTCCTCGGTTTCCCTCGTCCATCGATCAATGAAGGACCGGAGGGATTCCTCGTGCTGCTGCTTGACGGAGAGGAGGTGGGTGAAATACTTCTTCACGCGCTTCCTCCCGGCAAAGTGAGTGAGGAAGCGCTGGGCGAGATCCTGCCATGAGTCGATGCTCCCTTCGGGGAGCGTGTTGAACCACTCGTACGCTGGCCCCTCGAGAGTAGAGAGGAACCAACGGCAGAGGTATTCGTCGGACGCGTTCACCATCAGCATGTTGTTCTGGTAGCGGCTGAAGTGTTCCTGGGGGTCTGATCGGCCGTCGTAGGACTTGATGGCGTTCCCCCTGTACTTCTCCGGAATGGGGGCCGAGAGGACCCTGTTGGTGAAAGGGGTCATGGTCCTCACCTGGATGATGGGGTCTCCTCTCCCCTCGGCCAGCTCCCTCTCCAGGGCACTAACCTTGTTCATGAGTGCGTTGAGGCCGGGGTCGTTGGAGGCGCCGGCCGTAGGGATGTTGGCCGACTGCTTGGCCTCCATCTGAGCTAGCCTCTTTTCCAGCTGGGCGATGACCTCGTCCCGGGGGTCCCTGGCGGCCGTAGCGCCGCCCGGCTGGTTCCTCATGCGCTCGTTGTGAGCCGCGTTGATCTGGTGGCGCACGTCATCCTCGTGCAACTTTCCCTTGCCCTTGTCCGGGTGGGGCTGGTCCGCTGTCCGGAACACAGACCCCAAGCTTTCCCTTGGCGAGCCAGGACGAGGATCACCAATCCGTCCCGCCATCCTCTCCGAAACCGGACGACGGTGCGTGTCACCTAGCCTATTGAAGGCAAAGGCTTTTCCACGCGCTGGGGTCTGCCCGGGCCGAAGAGGGGAAGCAGGGTGGGAGTGGGACGACGCCGTGTCCTGGGCCATTACCCCCTCATCGTTGCCTATCTGGACGGCCAACGATTGGGGATGAGGAGGTGGAGTGACGTTCCCCCCGGTCCTTGGCAAGAGCGCGCTGAGGACGGTGGGGTTCTGAGCCAGACTGGCGATGATGACCGACAGCGCGGCCTGGACCTGCGGATCCACGGACGGAGAGGCCGCGGCCATAGGCTGGGCCGGGGCGTGGTCCGTCTTCTCAGCTCGTTTCTTGTCCAAGCCGATGCGGGTGTCGAAGACTCCGCCATTGAGTTGGTTGCGGAGGTCCGTCGTGAGGTTGAAGGCCTCCTGGAAGAGGTCCCCTCCGCCGGCCTGGTCGGCCGTGGCGTCCTCATCGTGCTCCCTGGGCTCTTGGTCCAAAGGATGACTTTGCTGACGAGGTTGCGGTTTGACTTAGTTCTCCCCATGATCAGTGGTTAGCTGTGCTTGGTAGCGACGAAGGGTGCTAACTTGATTGTTCTAGCTCTCAACGAGAGCACCAAATGATAGAGTATATCTAGAGAGAAGTGAGAGCTAGAGAGAGAAGTGCAATAATATGCTTCAATAGAATGAATTTGTAACCCCTATAACTACTCCCAAAGGGAGTATTTATAGAGAAAATTAGGGCTGGGCTCCCAAGTCTTGGGCTTGGGAGGCCCATTTACAACTGGACTGCTACTGGGCCGAATACAAAGCCACTAATGGGCTGTACAAATGAGTAAGTGTGAAATCCAGTTCTGGGAGGTCTTCGTGGCCGACGAGGGCGTGGCCGACGAGGGCACGGCCGACGAGGGCTCGGCCGACGAGGGCACCCGGGTTCTTTGGACTCAGGACCATAATCCGAGTTGGCCCCTTTTCGGCCGATGGGGGCGTCTTGGCCGACGAGGGCGCCACTCTGTTGTCTTGTGCTTTCTGTTCTTCCGAGTATGTGGGTCCGGGGGCTCAGACCCATATACTCCATCACTATTAAAACTCTTAAATAAGAGTGAAGAGTAAAAATGATTTGAAAATTTTGTTGGATAGAAGAGAAGGATGAAATACAACAAGAAATGTTGTATATATAGAAGTCTTTCAAAATGTAATTTTTCTTTAAAGCACATGAATGACACTTCACACATTAATATTTTCATGTACCTCTACTTTTATTTGCATATTTTTTTAAATACTTATATTTTATAAATCTATTTTATTTTATTTGCATACTATGAACCTTTTTCGACTAATGTGTCCATAAATAATAAAATAATTACTCCGTATAATTCATATACACATCAATAATAATAACAATAATAATTTATCCTTTTTATTTAATAAAATTTGGCAACTGTTCCCCGACATTTGTCTCACTGATTTTGGTGGTTTGCACATCGGGTTAAAAAAACCTATTTATCATTTTCAATAGAATTCAGTAAATAATGTATTCCTTTTCAACATTAAAAGTGCAATTAACAAGTTCGGTGAATAATTCATAGCATCTATTAATATTTATCATTTTAATTTATATTAACATGAAACTACCGGGGTATGCCCCGGATGTTACACTAGTACTCTTTATAATGTTGTTATGATAAACAGTTAAACTATGGAACAACTTATGAAAAAATTGAAGAAAAATATGTGCGAAATAAAGAGGGATGCACTCGGGCTAGCTTGGGCCAGATTTTGGCCGGAACTGGAAAAAAGCCAATAGCTATTCGGTTCTTTATATTTTGACTAAAAAAATTAACACAATAATACTATATATCCAAATACATGTATACTATTTCTAGCACGCGATTTATATCCTGGGACCGGCGCACCATGAGGATGGTGTGCCCGGTCCCAAAACTCATCCTCCGCCTGCGGTCCAGCTTCTTCCAAGCCCTAGGCACCCTTCCAACCACGTCAACCGTTGTGCCCCACCGCACAACTCAAGTTGCCGAACAATTTTTCCACCGAATCGATGCAGAAGAAGGATGAAGGCTGATCTCTATCTTCGTCGCAGGGTCTGGTCGCGATTTTCGTCGCAAGGGACTGGCTTCCATCTTCGTCGCAGGGGCTGGTCGCGATTTTCGTGGCAAGGGACTGGCTTCCATCTTCGTCGCAGGGGCTGGTTGTTGAAGGTGTAGCTATATACTGATTGTGTATTTTTGGCCAGAAGTTACATGTACGTAAAGGCGTTTTACATTTCTAAGGGCTGAAGTTACATTTCAGTTAAAGGAATTTACAACCGATGGAAGCGTTCAAGTTACATTTCAATTAAAGAAATTTACATTTCAACGAGTTACATCTGAATGAGTATAACTTACATTTTGATAAACCTTAAGTTACATATGGAATCACACGTTTTACATTTGATATAACCTTGGGAGCAGGATGCTCACCATGCACCGCTCCCACGGTATAACCACTGTTTCTAGCAAGGCTAACTAGTATCAGTGTCCTAGTACTCCAAGAATCCAAATCTCCAAGAGATGAAGTGATCACTAAAACTTAGGAAGGCTTAAATTTGAGTTCGAAAATTGCTTTTCGAACTACAAATGAGCACTTCCAATATTGATCATGATCCCGCCTATAATATAATAGGACTTTGGGTAGGGTATTCAATTGAATTGCTCGAAAACATACTCCGTAATAATTAAAAGGCAGGTATAATTCCGGGTTTTGTGTCAATTCATTCCACCCCAGTCATTATATGATCATCCACGTGGACTTTCTAGAGCCAATTTTGTGACCTTTTTTCAACTTATCAATCATCTTTTTCACCAAACACGTAATTTATGATTCCCCGCGCCGAATTTTACAATAATCAAAATAAGATTGGAGTTGCTTTTGTGCCTGAATTGTTTGAAGTTATTGTTATAGACCATTTTTTCTATTTTTTCAAATAATTTTTCCTTTTTTATGAATAAAGTACTTTGTATACTTTAAAAATAATTTTTCAATAATTCAACAAATTTGGTCCGCCGCTTCAATCTAACTTCATCAATTTCGGTAGATTCAGTTGATTCAGCCAATTTCGGTATTACCGATGAGTTTTTACATTTAAAGCGTTCCATTACTTCCATATAATGCATGACTGGCGGTAAACATACTTAAATTGAATCAGAGTAAGATAGTAAGCCCACTACTTTATATAGAATGAATAATTGCTACATTTAGTATTTCCCCTTGCCTGTGAGTAAAATCTATACATTACAAATATATCTCTTCAATTAGGCGAGTAAAAGCTAATATACACTAAATTCACCTCTTGTTGGCCTCTCATCATATGCCTTATTATGTAGTGCTAGTTCTCTCTTTGCTTTCTAACATTGATGAATTTCTTCTTCTTAAACTGTTTTTCATAACTGAAGCTCCTACCATATACTTAGCATATATGGCTACTACACTATTCCTAATTTCTTTTGCAGTATCATTAGTAGTATTAGTGCCATCACAATCTTCTTCTCTTGTAGCCAAATTTAAAATTTATCAGAGGCACTCTGACAAGGTCACTGGTGTCTTAGGCGGGAGAGGGTTGCCAAAACAAGGCACGGTGGAGTACTACTCCGCCTGGATAACTCATGACCGACCAGCACAGGCACGGTGGATTTTTACCGGCACTGACTTTTGCTGGGGGTGATAGAAAAATTGGGAAAGTAAGTTTAATTTAGTTCATACAAATTCTTTGGCTACCCAGCTTTTTTATATGTTGAATTTTTAAACAGTTTTATCACCCCACTAATGGCTCATATATATATATATTAGCATTTCTATCTGTACTAGTGTATTTTGACTCTCATGTTTTTTACTCAGCTGCTGATAGCTCAAATGTTGCCTTGTTTCGAAGTAACTAAAAAAGAAATAATTAAAACAAACAAATTTTCAAGCTAGCCGGCCATTATGTATTATGTTCCGGTGTGCCACAATTATGAATTGTTTGATGTCACATTTTTTCTATTTCAGCCTCCATTATGCTGAAATACGAGTTGGGACTCCTCCCGTGTCGGTCGCAATTGACACGGGGAGCGATATATCTTGGTTGCCATGCGGCTGCACAGACTGTGCACACTTGTATGGGACAAGTAAGAACAAAGTTCTATTTCAGATCCATATCCTGTTTATCAGGAATTCCAAAGTACCTGATCACTTTTTCACTAGTGACAGCCGAAAAAATTACTAGGAAAATAATCTAATCGTTGTATTCTTTTCTCCTAAACAGACAAAAATTCTCAATAGTTACAGCCCAAAGTCATCATCCACAAGTGCAATTGTTTCTTGTGACAGCCCAGAATGCTGGCCCAAGAAACTACAATGCCAGCACCTACAGAGTCGACTATACGTCAGATAGCACTTCGAGTACAGGCATCCTTGTCAAGGATGTATTGCACTTGGAAACCTTTGACAAGAAACGCCACTCTAGTACTGCACCTGTAATATTCATCGGGTATGTATGCACTATTATTATTACAAGTAAATGTCTAATCTGATCAAATCAGTTTTTAAAAGATCATAAACTATACGGCCGGAGTATGCTTCTTCATTTTAGGTGTGGAATGGTTGAAACAGGCACCATTCTGGAGAAGGGTGCAGTAAACGGTTTGCTAGGCCTGGGGTTTAACACTCCTTTGGATGTTCCAACCGTTTTAGCATCCAAAGGGTTAGTCCCCAACTCATTCTCCTTGGAGACAAGGGTAGCAGTAAGATATAGTTCAAATCTTCAATGTTTTCTGAACCATGGTTGTATGAAAAACATTTTAAATATTTACAAACAGAACCCATGTGCAGTGACTATATTCTTATCTTGGCTCAATGCAGCAACGGTTACAACATTAGAATACAGCAAATAAGTGTGGAACATATAGTAACCGATGTTGACTTTGTAGCAGTAGTTGATTCTGGTTGCTGTTTCCTTGTTAAATAAAGAGGTGTATACCCTTGTTACAAAAAAAGTGAGTTAGAAACTTTATTTCTAGTAATTTGCATTTCTTTTTAGTTTGAGGATTAAGATTCTTCAATATCTTTGCAGTTCAATTTTCTTGTGAAAGATCCCCACAGTGTTCCCCCTTCATATGTTCAATTTGAATATTGTTATGGGTGCGTTACAGTAGATCTTTGTTAGGGACCGGGCCTAAAGATACTAAGAATAAAGGACCGGGCCCATTAGAGTATTAATAAGAATAGAGTGTATGAGTTTAGTATAAATAGAAGATAGCAGGGGAGATTTAGTAGGCTGTTTAGACTTTGACTTTGGGACTTTGGGAGATCGAGAACTATTCTCTTTCTTTGGGGGGCTTCGGCTCAACTGGGGGCTTCGGCCATTTGTTACGATTACTGTTCTTCTTCTTCTCTAATAAAATTGCAGTTAGTTTTCTTGAATCTTCTTCTATAATCTTCTGTATTACTGTACATCCCTAACAATCTTACACTTATTTCTAGAGGTTTGGAGATATTTATACTCGGTATTTAATTTATTTCTTTGCAGCACAAATAAAAGCTCCTATTGGGCTCCATCTTTGAGCCTAAAAATGAAAGAAGGGGCGAACTTCTATGTTACCCATCCCACTGTTATATTGCCTTTTCAAGTAAGATGGTTAATTACTTTTTCTTTGATGTTTTGTATTTTAAGTTACTAACACTCTTTGATATGTCTTCAGATGGGAGGATACATATACTGTTTAGCAATTCATGAAAATAAAGAAAATGATCTAAACATTATTGGGCGTAAGTATTTTCAGAATCTCTTCCAAATCATTTTACAATTATCAATTAAGAACCCATTATTTAAGGCTAATTCCTTTGGCACTATTAATTTGTACAGATAATTTTATGATGGGCTACCATCTTGTGTTTGATCGTGAAAGGTCAGTTCTGGGACGGAAACCATCAGACTGTAAGTTTGCATTTCTCCTAATCCCTGCTGCTACATTTTACTCCCCACGTAAGACAAGTTTTTAATTTATTTGAGAATTAAATTTCGCATTAAGTTTTTTCTTCAATTCTCAGGTATAGCAAAAGAAGCAAACACAACTGATTCTAATGGAGCATCATTGCCAACAATGGCGAGCATATTCGTGTTCTTTTTAGCTTATATTTCCACTTCACATATTATGTGATCGTTTCACAAGTACAACTGTACAAGGCTAACTAATATGGTTCAGTCTAGAGTACATAGCCAAAAGAATTTGCAAATGTACATATACGCAATAAGTACTGTCATGTTTTTTTTCCCAAAATATGACTAATTACTGTCATGTTTTGGCAGTACCAGACTTCAAACATGGTAGTATTTTCTAAACGTGGCAGTAATTACTCCTATTTTGGGAATAAAAAGTATGACAATCCTATTTTGGAATTTTCGAACTGTTTGTCCTATTTCGGGAACTTTCCCATAAAAAAATTGTTCCTCTTGTCACAACCATCCATGTAATTCTAGATTTGGATGAAAAATTGAATTCAAGCAAATAATGAATTCTGTGTGGTGGTAGATGCATAAAAATTAGGCTCTGTTTGTTTCTCGAAGGTGTTGTTTTGTCAGACACTTTTTTCTTACAGAAAATTCAGAGGATAACCCTAAGCAAACAGGCTCTATATCATAGATACTACCCAATGAAGAAGCTGCTATTTCCTTTTATTCAGCGATTGGAGATCAACTGGGCCGGTGCATAAAGGTCAACAACATTTGTTGATATCTAATAGATTTTAAAAGTATATACGTATATTCCTCATATCTGCTTCCTTCACTATAACTTTAATTTGACCGGTCTTCCCTGCCCCCTTCTTCTTCTCTTATCTACTCATATTTCCTTTCTTCCTCTCTCCCCCTTCTTCTTCCCCTTTCTGCTCCTTTTTCCTTGCTACCCCCTTTCTCCTAATCCCTCCCCTTTCAACTTCCTTCTAACCTTATCATAGCCAAACATCACAAATGGCCATGTCTTAAAGGGAATCTGACCCTTAGATGGCAGAGTGATTGTCATCATTGGTCCTTCCATTCCTAGGCAAGATCCGAGTGCTGCGGGCCTGCGGCTACATTAGAAGCTGGGCATGTCCTCCTACCCCCAACCAAGGAATGCCCTCCACCATCCACTGGTGGCCCCACTTTCCCCTGGGCCGGCCAAAATTGGACCAGTTCTTGCAAGCACATCTCTTACTTGATCCAAAAGATGAATCAATAGCCAATACTAAAAACAATACAAGCGTAACCTCACAATGATGGCAGTGTTTATGCTTACCTTTTTCTCGTGTCTAAACCACACTGGTAAGAGAATGCTTCGGGAGGTAGAACCCTAAACAGCCTGTCATTCATGACATATCATCCAATCAGCCTGTCATTCATGACATATCATCCAATCAGCCTGTCAATCATGATAAGAGTATTTTTGAGGCGCAGGGCGCAAAAAAACACTTGCCTGACTCATGTCAAGCCTACTATTTAGAAAATATTATGTATATTATTCTAGAGTGATCAAATATGTCATATTCAACATCATATCGAACTAAATGCATTAAAAAGTCATGTTTCTCAATAACAAAGTCACAATCCACAGAAAATAGTCATGGTTGATGGTTCACATAAACCAAACACCGAGCAGGGTCTGTTTTGGCTGATTTTGCAGTATGAGGACTACGAGTAGCATAAATTGTAGTGTGTGAAACTACTAACCGAGTTAGAATATATGAAGTTTTATTCAATTAAAATATGAAATGATGATAAGAAGATATAGAGTTATAGACTGTATAATAAGATGAAGCAAAGAGAACCATAAAGTATGCAAAGAGAACTATAGAGTACGCATAGATGACTACAAGTGGTAAAAGTAAAGAGAGAAGATAGACTGAAAATATAAAAACAAAGGATCAACAAGAAGATGAAAAAATAAATGAAAACTACAATCTGAAAAAGAAAGAAGAAAGAACATGGGAAGATGATGAGGAAGAAGAAACCTTAAGGGTTGCTAGCTTCAATGGGTTGATTGTTGATTTGTTGGATGCGGTTGCAGCGCTGAACATGTTGTGAGAGTAGAGCATAGGAGAGTAATGATGAAAACACGCGATAGAAGGCTTTTACCGTGACTTAGAAGGGTTTAACATGGGTTTAAGTTGTTTTGACCTATTATTTGAATGGCGCTAAACATGGGTAGCACCTTATAATTCCCAGGCGCAGTGATATGCCTCAGGCGCAAGAAGAGCTGAGGCGCACGCTTGTCACGCCTGTGCTGGGAAACGCTTCTCAACTTATTTTTGAATGGCACACGTTTCTTCTTTCTGTCTTCATCCTCTTGTTTAATTCAATTTTTCATTCTTTCTTATTTTCTATATTTTTCGGTATTGTCTATTTGTTCTTGCTCTAATTCTATCTTTTCATTAAAAAATTGATACCCTTATCTCTAATTTTCTTCTTCTGCTTTATATCTTCTCCTAACAAGTTCTTTTCTTTTATTTTTAGTCCTTCCATTCTTAGCCATGTTCCGTGTGTTGCAGCTGCATCAGAAACTAGGCATGCCCCCCGCCCCGCCCACGGGATGCCCTCCACTATCCACTGGTTTGCCCCACTTTCCACAGGGCCTGCTCTCCCCTCCACTTTCCCCAGGAACTGCCCCCATTTCCCCGTGGACTGCCCCCCTGCTCCCTTCACCCCAGGATCTGGCCCACACAAACTCAAATCGCATACAAGCAATGGTTTTTAATGGAGTAATCCCCTTCCTTCTTCTCCCTCTTTGTCTTCCGTCTTCCTCTTCCATCTTTTTATCATTTATTATCAAACCATCGTAACACATGCGAACTATGAAATGGAGTAATCCAGAGAACCAAGGTATGATCAAATGCAATACATAGAGAGAGCAACCCTGAAATTCAAAACCATGATGCAGAAAAGATACTTAAACTCAACATAGTGGGCCAATGCAAAGAAATCTAGTCTAACTGTCAGCAAGCTAAGTATACTGTAATATTCTGTCAAAAAAAATCATTAATAGTTAAACCGAGTCGATTTTTCTTTTAAATTTCGATATCTCCTTACCCTTCTTCTTCCGGTTCCGTCTTCTTCCTCTCTTCCTTGTTCAACCCCTCTGCTCCCATTTTCTACTTATACAGGTTATAACATCTAGCCCATCTACAATTCGGTGACCATGGAATATAAGTTGTTGCCACCTGTCTTACGTTCAACTGTCTGCAATCAAAGCACGTCAAATCCTTGAGCAACCGCCCTTCTTTCTCTTCTCCCTTTCTAACCCCCTCTCCCCCGCCCCCCTTCGGATACCCATTCACTTCTCCACTTCTAAAAAAAGATTGTAATGATTGTTTCTTAAGAATGCTGGAAAGGCAGCTATGAAACACTTCAACAGATCATTTGGTATGTTTTGCATTACCTAATTTCAGACTATTAATCAAAATAAAAAAATCCATGCCATGAAATAGCTGTGAAACTAAAGTTTTCTTCATTATTGCAGCCTTCTGGATTTCAGCTGAGTGACTCCTTAAAGCAAAAGTTGTTCCTCTTGTCACAGCCGTCCATGTAATTTTATATTTGGATTGAAAATTGAATTCAAACAAAAAAATGAATTCTTTGAGGTGATAGTTGCATACAAATTGGGGTCTGTTGGCTTCCCAAAGGTGTTGCTTTGCCAGACACTTTTTTGTTTCAGAAAATTCAAACGATAACCTAAGCAATTCCTTTTATCAGCCGGATCGGTTCATAAAGATCATAACTGTATTAATATTAATGATAATACATAGCATAATATTACTACCTCCGTCCCAAAAAACTTTGCCATTTTCTAAACTTTGACCGACTATATCTTGTTATTGAAAATTATTTATAATATAAAAATTATATGAAAATGTTCTTTGTTAAAAGTACTTTCATAAAAACATGAAATTTATAATTTCCATAATATTATACCAATCAAAATCAATGTTCAAACTTTTTGAAATGACAAAGTTTTTTGGGACGGAGGTAGTATAAAATATAATAATAGATAGGTTTACTTTTGCTTACCTTTTCTTGTTCGCTCCTTTTTTCTTCTTGCTTTCTTATAAGTGCCTATTGCATGAGTGAGATGCTAATTTACCTCAACGACAATACCTAAATGAGAAGAGACACATAAAGCACCCAAATGTCCAGAAAGCATATGACCTAAAAGAAGAAGAACTTACCGACCACAAGTCCCAGCCCAGGCAGTTCCCCATAAAGGGATGCTTTCCGTATTGTCTCCTTCGTTACATCCCAGAGTTAATCAGATAGTGCACCACACGGATTAGGAAGATCGCCGTTAGAAACCTGTTTTTCAACTAATTATCTACTATACTCTAATGACTTTAATTGACCTTCTGAAAACACATACAGGCAAGTCTTCACCTTTGGCTGTGCGTCAGAATCCTGACCAGCACCTCTCAAAGGGAGTCCAGGAGGTGCTTCTCCTTCCTTTTAATTTAACTGCCTGTAACAACAAAACGCGCTCAAATTTCCACACACGGAAACAAAATCAGATTGAAATTTGTGAGCTAACAATAGTCACATATCCTAAAGAAGAAGCACATAGAGCAAATAAAATTGAAAATACGCAAAAAGGAAAATAGAGCTAGAGAATCAGGCAGTGCTTGTGATGGTTTAAAAATCACTTTTCAGCTTCTTGCTTCAAAAACGTTAAACATAAGGTTTTCAAACATGTGCTTGCTCTTGACTTTCTTGTAAATGCTTTTCGGATTTTCTATAACTAACTCAATCTTTTAACCCTAAACATATATGCAACAATTATCCTACATGACAAGACAAAACAGAGCATGCGGAAAAATTGGACATTTTGGTACATCCACTGAATATTACATTACAAATCACTTTTCTACCGAATTTTTACTTTTAATATAAAATCACTTCCAATTTAAAACACTACCGGGCACCGGCTTTTATCAAGCAGTTTCTCTATAATAACTATTCACTAAGAAAAATCACTTTTTAGGAGCACAATATATTGCAGACACTTCCTTAATACCGCACATAGTTATATTATATATATACACTCCCTCCGTCCCTGTTTTTTCTCCCATTTCGGCCGGGCACACTAATTAAGATAGTGGGTTTTGTGTGGTGGAGAGTTGTGCACAGGAGAGAGAAATGTGTAAGAATGTGTAAGAATGATTGTGAACCACAAATTCTTTGCCAAAAAGGGAACGAGGAGATAATTTTGGGACGGACGAAAAAGGAAAGTTTGAAGATAATTTAGGGACGGAGGGAGTATAAAGCAACTAGACCTTGGCGTTACTTCAGAACGTGCAACACTCTGACAAGCAATTAAAGCACACTACGTTTTGATGGAGTTACATGCAATGTGGAAGATATGATCGCCCACATTAAGTTTATGGTTTATAAAGTGTTATATTCCATCTATCCATACCACATGATTACTTTTTGAAACTGCCGTCACCTTGTTTTTTTGCTATGGGCTTCATAGAGTTTAGATGC